AAGGCCTGGTGTGATGTGGTTCATGGGGTCACGAAGAGTCGGACATGACTTAACGACTGAATAACAACAACCTGAGCAGGGCTGCAGAAGAAGCTTGCTATTTTTAACTGCTGCCCTTTTGCTTCTTTTAAATTCCTTTGATATTTTTTTTTGGCTTAGTTTTAAATATTACAGATTTGTATTACTCCACAATCTGTAATATTTTGCCAGTCAGCAGCCTGGTTTGTCTCTATGTGGGTATGAATTCATAATGTATTCCCATACAGATCCTACCGGCAAAAGGTGTTCCTAGTTTTGTTGGGATCAAAGTCCCCAATGATTACTTTGTTTGATTGAAGCCTCCTATTTACATACAAGGAACTCTGAGATTGAGGAGCAGATTGAAACAAGAAGAGTTCTTTCTGGGGGTGAGAAGAAGCTAGGAAAAAGTGCTCATCTTTACCCTATTCCAAAAATTGCTGTTACTGGATAGCAATGAAGGAAAATGAAGGAAGAATCTAAAGATAGAGGTTCTTTTCCTCCATCATTTTCTATATAAGGCTGTGTAAAAGAAACACAGCAAAACTTCCCAAGTATTTGGGACTCTGGGGAAAAGAAGAAGAAGCCTGAAATAGCCATCTGGCCACATTGGCAGTTGTTCAATATTAGATTTAGTGCCTACCTGCAGTTAATTATTCTCATTCCTATTATTTCATACTTCTCCAAACAGTTGCTGAGTTCAGATGAGTCAGCAGTACAAAAGGATCAAGACTACAGCTGACCATTTGTCCCCATAGAAAACATCAGCTGTGTATCAAAGGAAATCATGTACAATGGCTCTCCTAGTGATTAGCACTACTCTTTCAGTCCTTTTAGAAACTTGCACTCTTCTGCCTCCTCGAAACACTTCAGAGCACCTGACCCTCTTTCCAAGGATAAAGCTGCAGTGATTCTGCAATAACAGACCTCACTTGTGTTCTCAGCTGTGAATTTTACCCTGCTAACCTAGTGCAGATCTCAGAAGTTTCTTCAGGGCATTGAGCATCTTACACTCCCTTCCATCTGTAAATTCTTAGCTCTCGTAATAATTAACAGGTAAACCCAACATAGAGGGACTCCAGAACAGCACACTATCTCTTTAGGCCAGTGTTTCTTGACCTCAGCAAGTTTAAGATGGGTGGACTTCAGCTCCCAGAATTCCCCCAGCCAGCATGCTTAAACTTGCCAAGGTTGAGAAACACAGCTTTAGGCAAACATATATATTCCACGTATTGAACTTCTCCATGCATCACTTTCATCTGTCAAGTACTACAACTTTTAACTGCCCTGCCTATCCTTTTAAGAAACAAATGGGCAAAACAGAATCTGCAGGGAGGGAGTCCCAAAAGGTCTGTTAGCCAAAAAATTCATTCAGGAATAATACAGTTTAAACAGGGTGCAGAACTGTTTTTAAGATCACTCCTAAAAATAGAAGTGGGTGGGGACAGGGCAACCTCTAACCCTGATTTACTGTAATGTAAGCAACTGATTCCCTACAAGATTCAAATATTCCCTTGGTAGCCATTACAATTTGCATGCAACTTTTAGAAAAGCTCTAAGGCTGCCCCAGGTTTTCGCGGGGCTTCACTGTTTAGTCTAAAAGAGGCTTCAAAGTGGGGTCATTTGGGAAGACGGGGATATCCTGCCCGTTAGTACATTTGCCCAATTAAAAAAAATAAATTTGTTGTGTGACCTTTAATTAAATTGTCACAAGTAGCACCATTCCTACTTAACAGTTTTTAATCACAAAGTATGCCAAAAAGCCAGTGTGAATTATGTTGTTAGATTTTAGGGGCAACTCCAGTTCAAAATAGAAAAAACTTATATCAATCCTCCCCC